CCCCCCCCCCGCCTCACCCTCCCCGCGCACAGCCATCTCCTCCATGATGCAGGCCCTGATCAACCCCGGCGAAGAGGTCATCATGATGGAGCCCTTCTTCGACATCTACCCGGCCACCATCCGCCTGGCTGGCGGTGTGCCGAAGTATGTGGCCCTTCGGCCGTCGACCACCGACTCCACCACCCCCGGGGCCGGCCACACGGCCGCCGACTGGAAGCTGGACTTCGAGGAGCTCGAGAGCCAGATCACCTCGAAGACGCGCATGCTGATTGTCAACACGCCGCACAACCCGATTGGTGCGTGGGGAAAAAAAAAATGCTTGGAAGTGCCAGTGTTCCTGGGCGCGGTGTCATGTGGTCCCTCGGGGCGGGGGCACAGTCTCCCCCGCCCCCGGGCAAGGTCCCTCCCCGTGTCTGACCTTCTGCCACGCCTGGCCGCCATGTGTGCGCAGGCAAGATCTTCAATCGCGAGGAGCTCGAGCGTCTGGCGGACATCGCCAAGCGCCACGATCTGCTGGTCCTGTCAGATGAGGTGTACGAGGCCATCGGGTACAACGATGCGCCGGAGCCGATGCAGTCGATCGCCGCGCTGCCCGGCATGAAGGAGCGCACCATCACGGTCGGCAGCGCCGGCAAGACCTTCTCGGTGACCGGGTGGAAGATCGGCTGGGCCATCGCCCCGGCGCACATTATCCACTCGATCCTGATGGTACGCGGGCGCGCTGTTCCCTCTCGGGGGCCTCCTTTTTGGCTGTTGCGCCTCCTCCCTAACCCCTGGCCGGTCCCCCCCCCCTCTCTCTCTCTTGCACACAAACACACGCACGCACTGGCCCGACATCTGTAGGTCCACCAGTTTATGCCGTTCACCGTGGTGACCCCGCTGCAGGAGGCTGTGGCCACCTCCTTCGAGCATGTCATGTCCGAGGAGGGCTCCAGGTACTTCGGCGAGCTGTGCGACAGTGCGTTTCTTGGCAATACCCCGGAGCCCCCCCGCGCCCCTCGATGCTTGGATGTTTTGCCCGCCGGCATTCTTCTGTGGGCCGTTGCCTTCGCTGACCTTCCCTCTTTCCCCCCCCCCCCCCCCTGGCTC